TATATATATGATCGCCTAATGAAATATTCACGGCGATAGATAAATATAAAATTTAACATATTTTATATAAGGATCCAATATACAATCAGATAAAAAAGAAGGTCTAGCGTTCATAAGAGATATCAAATTTTTTTCATTGAACCCTAAAAAGAGAAAAAATCATCGGACCTAACCCAGCTTGAATAAATTCACTAATATTTCCAGTCGATTACAAATGGGCCCTTCATTGGGGGAATGTCATGACTTAATGTAGCAAATATACATCATATATAGTGCATGGGAATTGGAAGAACAAGTATTGACATGTTCGTTTAATCGACCATAGTCAGCGAGAGACGGAGTTCGGAAAGGGCATAGTCGAGTGAAGGTAGTTGGAATGATCGTAGTTGATGGACGACGAAGGTTAGAAGTACAGTAGTTGGTGGGCGACGGAGGTCGGAAAAACCATTGTCTGACGATGGAGGTCGGAAGGATCGTAGTCAACGGGTAATAGTGATAAAAAAGATCGTTGTCTGGCATCGGAGGTCGAAAGGACCATAGTTAGAGGGTGACAGTGGTTAGAAAGGCCGTTGTCTGGCAACAAAGGTTGGAAGGACCATAGTCGGCTGGCAACAATGATCAGAAAGACTGTTGTCTAGTGATGGAGGTCGGATGGATCGTAATCAGCGGGCGATAGTGGTCAGAAAGATCGTTGTCTGACGACAGAGGTCAGAAAGATCATAGTCAGCAGACAATGAAGGTCAGAAGGACCGTAGTAGGCAGACGACAGTGGTTAGAAAGATCGTCGTCTGATGATAAAGGTCGGAAAGACTGTAGTTAGCAGGTGATAGTGATTATAAAGATCGTTGTATGGCGACGAAGGTCGGAAAGACCGTAGTCGACGTGATATGAAGGTATGAAGGATCGTAGTAGGCAGACGAACGAGGTCAAAAGGGCCAAAGTTGGCAGACGACAATGGTCAGAAAGACCATTGTCTGGTGATGGAGGTCGGAAGGACCATAGTCAGCGGGTGATAGAGTTCAGAAGGACCGTAGTCGACGGGCAATAATGGTTAGAAAAAGCCGTTATCTGGTGACTGAGGTTGGAAGGACTATAGTTAGCGAGCGACATTGGTTAAAAAGATTGTTATCTAGCGATTGAGGCAGAAAGGATAGTTGTCGACGGGCGATGGAGGTCGAAAGGACTATATTTGGCAAGAGACGAATGTTAGAAGGATCGTAGTCGGTGAGCGACGGAGGTTAGAAGGACCATAGTCAGCAGGAGACTGTGGTTAGAAAAATCATAGTCAGTAGGAGATAGTGGTTAGAAAGATCGTTGTCCAGAGACGAGGGTTGGAAGGACTATAGTCGGCAGTTAGGTGGAAGTCCGACGTTAGTCAGTGGTTGGGCAAAAGTCAGACCTTGGTGGCTGGGACGAAGTCCGACATCAGTTTATGGTCGATGTGTAAGTTCGATGTTTGTAAGTGGTCGGGCAGAGATCCAACATCAGTTGGAGGTCAGGTGAAAGTCCAAAATTAATTTGAAGCCGGGTGGAAGTCCAACGATGTTTGGTAGCCGGTCAAAAGTCTTTTTTCAATGAGTTCAGTCTAATGAGACTTATAATCGAAATGTGCATCTCAAATGAGAATAGGTGAATCTAATGAGTTTAAAATCATTATTATCAAATATTATGAGGATAATTTTGATCAATTTAATGGAGTGTTTAAGATTTTAATAAAAATAATCAAAATTCCTCAATTAAAAATTATATAAATAGATTTCATTCCACACTTGAAGGAGAATCATGAGTAAAGAGAGTTTTTATATTTCAAGAATCTTAAGTTGTATGTTCGCTCTCTATCATTCAACATGTACCGACATTTATTATTGAATAACTACATATGTTTAGCTATTATCATCTTTGGTGAACCGATGTCAACATACAATCAATTATTCGTTATTGCTCGCCTTCAATTGATTCCTAAGACCATCATCACATTATTGTGATTGTCATTAATGCTAGCCACATATTGTGTTTCACTAGTATTCTTTTTGTCATTCACATAGGAGACTAAGCCAACAACTCAAATCTTGCATTGATGCCTCTTCCATTTAAGGAGGACATTTATCTCTAATTTGCATTTTTAATAGTAGATTATCCTTGTGATTTTTTTCTTATTGATTTTTCATTTAAAAAGTTATTGTGCCTTTTTAAACATTTTCGATCTCCTTTTGTCTCTGTATATGCAAAATTGTTATGCAATTATAGGATTAATAATTTACACTTTAGCCATCATAAAATTTCTGATATGTAATAATAATAAATTAATAATATAAAAAATAATTCACCAGTTACAGTGGCACCATGATGTAATTGAAAATTATTGTATAACTTTTTATATCATAAAATTGGCCCACAATCTTTTATATTAAAAAAATATATTTTTAAAATAAGTTAAATATTAATTTATTTAAAAGTAATAGTTATGTTGATCTGAATTTTTTTTGAAAAAATTGTTTTAATAAATCATTAGAAATGTCCAATTCTAAATAGTTATAATATAACTAATATTAATTTCAATAAAATTAGATTAATTACGCTAGATAAATAATGTTTATTTTCCTAAAAAGTATATGTTTACTTCCATTTTATTCAAGAAATTCAGATCTTATAATGTTTTATTTGTCAAACGTTATATATTTTAATTTTAATCAAAATTAAAAAAAAGTTATTTTATGTACCGTTGCTATTATACGAAAAAAATTAAATTTAGTAAGACAGTACTATTCTTATTTAAAACATTTACCCATTCAATCATAAAATAAATAAGGAGAAAAAATAAATCAAATAAAATTGAAGCAATGAAGAATAAGTACCGCTGAACGCATTTTCTTCACTATAATGGTTTCAGTTAAAATCCATAGAAACTTGAACGGCGATCTTTGAATTAAGTTTAAATTAAAAAATAATAATACTTTGCTATAATAATTGAGAAATCGTTTTTACTTTAAATGATAGAAATTCAAAATATTATTATTATCATGGTTTTGAAAATCGGACCGGACCGGCCGGTTCGACCGGTTCAACCGTGAACCGGTCTTACGGCCGGTTCGGTCTTCCCTAAGATTCTCATAGAAGAAAGGCTTGTTTCAAACGCAGAACAGCATTAGCTCACTGATCCCTTCGCAAAATCGCAGCATTTCGGTCCCTTCCCACTTTCCCCACTCACACACACACACACACACTCTCTCTCTCTCTCTCTCTCTCTTTGCCGTTCCATTTCTAAAACCAACGCACAACTCCTCACAACTCCTCACTGAAAGCGCAACATCCTCTCTCTCTCTCTCTCTCTCCGTCTCTCCGTTTCGCGATGGTTGGAGACGGAGTCAAGAGTCCGCAGGAAGGGGCCACGGCCTCTGATTACCGAAGCCTCTTCACAGTGGTGAAGGCTCGGCGAGCGAAGCTCTTCGCCTACGGCTTCGCGTTGGTCTTTGTGGGCTGCACTGCCTTCCTTGCCTTCAATCCGTCCGGCAATGGCTCCCCTTGGTTCAACTCTCTTTTCACCTCCTCCTCATTTTCATCCTCTATTGCCCCCTACCGTTCTCATTTCAACAATCTCATCTCCCACATTTTCCCAAATTCCACCGCTTCTTCCATACCGGACAAGCCTTTTGATAGTGGAGAAGTTGGATCGCTGAAAGGTGGCGTTTTTCCGAGTATGGCACCGCCAAGTGCTGCTTCTGTACATGGGATGAAAGTTAACGGTGTTGTGAGCCAAAATCTGACGGAAGGGTTGCCCGGTTCAAAGAAAGATGGCAGCTTTAAGAAGAAATCGACTGACGTAGTTGGATCACTAAATCGAACAGCAGAAGGTTCTACTTTAAAGAAAGATGGCGTCTTGGCAGGGAAGAACCAAACTGCGATTCAATTTCCAGGGCAGAACTTAACTGTAAGTGAACTGGCGCCGGAAAAAGGAGGAGTTCCTGAGACAAATAGCACGGGAGAGCTAGCAGTTCCCAAAGATAACGAGGTTTCTTCTAATATCCCCGAGGAATCAAAGTCTGGTTCTAAAGGAAATATTGCTCAACCTAAAAAGGCAACTTCAACACTTACCGGAACTCAATCTACGAACCAGAAGACGTCATCTTCCCCAGCTCAACCGAAGAATCAAACAGAAGCATTGACTGGAAATCCTGCGAGTTCGAAGAAGAAGGACGCTCCTGCTAGTTCTAACATCTCAGCTTCGTTGAGGAAAGGTAACGCCTCCACTGCACAAACTCCTAAGGATTCTGGTTTGAAGACAGAGGATTGGATCAAAGGCATGATTGGTTGTGATATATTTCATGGGAAATGGGTTAAGGATGATTCATATCCTCTCTATTCTGAAGGATCTTGTCCTCATATTGACGAGCCATTCGATTGCTTTCATAATGGTCGGCCAGATCGAGCTTATCAAAAGCTCAGATGGAAGCCTGATGGATGCGCTGTCCCAAGGTAAGATAAACTCAAAACACTTCTTTTAATTTTTCTTTTAGTTCTTTCTTCATTATAAATTTTTTCTTTTGCTTGTTACTTAGATTTAATGCGCTAGATTTGCTGGAGAGATTGAGAGGGAAGCGCCTGGTTTTTGTCGGTGATTCACTCAATAGGAACATGTGGGAATCCCTTGTGTGCGTCCTGAAGAACTCTGTAAAAAACAAGAAGAAGGTCTTTGAGGCTTCTGGCCGTCACGAATTTAGGACAGAGGGTTCCTACTCTTTCTTATTCAAGGTAATTGATTTGTTACCATATTTCTGATATATTTACCTTTCTTGTTTCTCATAGTTTACTGTCTTTTTCAAATTGTTTATGGTAGGATTATAATTGTACCGTTGAGTTCTTCCGGTCACCTTTCCTAGTTCAGGAATGGGAGATGCCTGATTCCAACGGTAAGAAGAAGGAAACTCTCAGGCTTGACATAATTGAGAGGTCTTCATCCAGATATAAGGATGCTAATATCATAGTCTTCAATACTGGGCATTGGTGGACTCATGAGAAGACCTCCAAAGGGTAATAGTTCTTGATTTTTGTAATAGTGAAGCTTTTCTAAATAGAAAAGAAAAAAAAATTCTGAAGATATCCTTTGATAAACTTAGCATAGGATACAACAAGGGGTGTAAACTAAGCTAAAAGCTTGTGCGAGCTCAGTGTTTTTAGCTCACTTGTTAAGCAAACAAGTCAATTTGCTTATTTTTATTTTTGGCTTGTTAACTTATAGGGGCTGTTTGGTAGCAGGATTTAGGCCGGAATTTGAGGCAGATTTGAGCGAAATCCATACAAACGACCAAAAAATGCAAAACCAAATCCCATGGCAAATGAAAGCCGTCGCAGACGGAAAATTATGCCTTTTCGTGCTAAATCCCGGATTTGCGAAATCCTGTTTTTTGTGTCGGATTTACGAAATCAATTGGCTCGAGAGGAAGAGTACCCTTGTTAAATCCACTCTATAGCCAAACAGTCATACTTGATTTAATAGGATTTTTCATGAAAGTTACCAAATAGTTTTCAGGATTTAGGCCTCTTAGGATTTATGAAATCCGGATTTAGAGGATTTATGAAATCCTACTTAAATCAAATCATGGTTGCTACCAAACAACCCCATAGAGTTAAACATGAGCTATTCATGAACATAAAGTTCACTACTTGAAAGTAATACGGTTAATAAAATAAGGTTTTGATCATGTTTTGTTCGTTAAATGTATGAGCTTATAATAGCTTGTCAAATTCAAGCTGATATCGTGCCAACATATTGAGCACAAACAATGAGCTTTCTATATGCAAAACACTTGCTCTTGATTTTGCATGATAGCAACTACCCGTAACTTTTAAATTTCTTGAACTTCTAGAAGATCTTGTATCTGAGCTAAATTTAGCTCATGATATCTTCATCCATAATTTTCTTGTTCCCTTATTTTTTGAGCTAAGATCAATTTCATTGATATTAAAAATATAGGAGAGACTACTACCAAGAAGGGAATCGTGTTTACAGTGAATTAAATGTAGTAGAAGCATTCCATAAAGCACTCCACACTTGGGCCAAATGGGTGGATGCCAATGTTAATCCTAAGAAGACCCTCGTCTTCTTCAGGGGTTACTCAGCTTCCCATTTCAGGTATAAACTAAGACTTCCTTTTGAACGACTTTCTTACCGCTTCTTAAAACAACTTTTTAGTACAAAATTTAAAATTTTTGTACTCGAAAACTGCTTTAAAAAGCAGTAAAAAAGCCGTCCCAAACAAAGCCTAACTTTAAGGTTTTGTCCATCATACAAAAATGCGATCAAGAGATTGACCAATTCTTCTTACTTTCTTTTTGTTTTAAAGAGGGGGGCAGTGGAACTCTGGTGGAGCTTGTGATAGAGAAACTGAGCCCATCTTCAATGAGAAGTTTCTGTCACCTTATCCTCCAAAAATGAGAGTATTGGAGACAGTACTAAATGACATGAAAACTCCAGTTTCCTATCTAAACATCACAAGGATGACTGATTTCAGAAAGGATGCCCATCCTTCGATCTATCGAAAGCCGAGCTTAACCGAGGAAGAAAGGAGAGCACCTGAAAAGTTTCAGGACTGTAGCCATTGGTGCTTGCCTGGAGTCCCTGACTCCTGGAATGAGCTTCTTTATGCACAGATACTCATCAAACAGCACCAGACACCAAATTGGTAAACAATGAAGAGGAATCTCAGGTGCCTATGTATGAATACTGTTGCTCTGTATATTTATTCTTGACAAAAATAAACATCAATCGTACAATTTACATTGTTAATAGAGATGAAAAGAGGATTTCGCTGAAGCTTGGAGTGGAATCTGTTTGATGTTAGGGAAGAAAGAAAGTTTAGTTTGAATGCATATCTACATTGTAGTTAATGATGATGAGGTGATCTTATGATACCTCAAATTACAATAATCCTGTATCATATCTTTGATTTTAAAGAAGGCCAAGAAGATTTCTCATTTTCTGTTTTTCTTTTCTTCTGTAGATTACTGTGATCGCTTATTGTTCACTGGTTCTTATTATTCTAGTTAAATTAAATAAGAGAAACTAAGCAAAATGGTTGAATTCTTTGTCAGAAATTTGAGTTAGACAGAGTACACCTCTTTACTTCTGAGGCTCGTGTTTTCTATTTGAGAATTCAAAAATCTATGTATCTTTTCTTGACCTGTTAATTGGGATTAATTATTCCGTGTGGAAGCCGAATGCCGTTCGGACTCTAGAATGCGTCACGTCATCCCTTGCTCGGTACCGCGGCTCAGTACTGTTCGGTATCATGGCTCGGTACCGTTGATGTGGCACATTCTAATTTGATTTCCTGATGACATTCTGCATTTGGTCACCACATAGAATAATTTCTCATTAATTGGGGGTTACGGCTTTCAAGCATGTGATCTTGAATTTAGAACTGGCATGTATAATTTGTTCATAATCTCCTTTAAAAAACCCCCTCAAATTTGACTATTTTATATCTGTAGCCTTCATACCAAATTATTAAATTAGATGGGAAATCTTATCTTGGTAAGCGTGAACAATAAAGAAAACAATTAAAAAAGAATAATCAACTAAAAATATTATCTGCAGTAACCTAAATAATAGAAGAAGCAACATGTATTGTTCTAACCCAAACTTTGTCTTGGTAGCAATTTATTTTTTTAAATTAGAAGGCATGTGATTAGGTAAAAACAGTCGAACTCGCACACTGAACAAACCAAATAGAGAAAACATTCAATGAAAAATAAGCCACTAATGGTCGATCTGGTAATATTCTACACTAAGATTTTCTTTTGTTTAATTTTTTTTACTATTTTTAAAGTAAATTCTTAATACTAGAAAGCTGCGTAGACTTCATTTAGGATAAATTTTTTATTGCTTTATAAATCTATTTTTTAATATAAAAATCTCTTGAATGCAGTGAAAAAATACTTGTCTAAAGCTATCCAAGGCTTCGTCTAGAAATTTTTGTACTACAAAATTTAGAAAACAGTAAGAACGTTTTTCCATACGAAACCTAACTAGATTAGAGATTAATTATATGAATTGCAAATCACTTAGGCATGAAAAACTCTTTCTTAGTACGTTCCTATCTTCCCCAAAATAAGCTAAAATGTTCTCACCATCATTGCAAAAGAAATAATTACTTTCTTTTGTAGCTAGACGTAACTTAGTAAGGTGTCCATTAACACATACTTAGGCATGCCAATATTAGTGGATTTGAGACTATAAATTTATCCTAGTGCATAGGTTGTTATCTTAGGCTTCATCTGGGACGATTTGAGACTATAATTCTGCCTTATAAGTGCATGGAAGGGGAGAGAAAGAGAAGAGGAAGATATACAAAATTATTTTGGTGATATTGGAATACATGACAAATCTCTTCTTTTTAATCCCTATAATTACGCCGTTGCTTCCATTTCTCTGCGTTGACTGATGAGATTAATGATGAATATTCACATAAAAGTGATTACTTTGATACAATTAATACTAATTATGTCCACCTTGGCGTGCTACACGATGAGCTTAAAGTGTTAATTAACTTGCCTTGTCAAAAATTTCCGCCAGTTTAACTTTCTTGAGACGGTACACAGGGAGAGCAAAGACGGAATGTAGAAGAAAGGCTAAAATGATTTTTTTTCAATATTGATATTGGAGTACAGGTACATTTAAATAGACAAAAGCTAAATACAATAACCAGTAATGACATGCCACGTGTAAAGCTAAACCGGTATACAAGTTCTTATTGCTAACATGCCCCCTCAAATTGATGAATCCGGAGGATTGATCAATTTGTTGGAGAGTAATTTAAATCTGGACTGATGTAGGGGTTTGGTGAAGAGATCGGCGATTTGATCTTTCGTGGATATGTGGTGAACTTGTATGGAGTTCTCTTTGATGCAGTTGCGAATGTAGTGGCAATCGACGTCGATGTGCTTGGTACGGGCATGAAATACGGGGTTGTTGGCCAAGGCAATAGCTGAAGTGTTGTCGCAATATAGAGGTGTAGGAGAGTGTTGCGGACAATCTAACTCGTGTAGAAGACGACGGATCCAGGTGACTTCGGCGGCTGCAGCGGCCAGTGCCCTGTATTCTGCTTCGGTGGAGGATCGGGCAACTGCATTTTGCTTCTTGACACTCCATGATATGAGAGAGTGGCCAAGAAAATTACAGTATCCGGTGATTGACTTCCTGTCACTGGTATCACCGGCCCAGTCGGCATCGGCGTAGGATCGGAGCGTGAGATCGCCACCTGATAGTGGCAGGCCGACATGAAGAGTGCCGTGTATGTAACGTAACAGTCTTTTGAGTGATTCGAAATGCAAGTTGGTCGGATTTTGCATGTGCTGACAGACTTTGTTGACGGCGAATGATATGTCCGGTCTCGTTAGTGTTAAGTATTGCAGCGATCCAGCCAATTGACGGTATAGGGATGGGTTAGCAAATGCAAGAGAAGCTTGGTTAGTGGAGTTGTTTTTAATTTGAGAGGGAGTTGATACAGGCTTGCAGTTTAACATACCTGCACGGTGAAGGATTGTTTGTGCGAAGTGGCCTTGACTGAGGTGGAGACCGGATGGTGTGTGTGTAACTTGGATGCCAAGGAACTGAGACAGTTGGCCAAGATCCTTCATGGTAAAGCGGCTGTTGAGTGTTTGCAGCAGTTGTTTGATTGCTTGTTGACAATTTCCGGTGAGTAGGATGTCGTCCACGTAAACGAGGAAGTACATACGTGTGCCATTTTTATTGTAGATTAAGAGAGAGCTGTCAGAGGTGCTAAATTGAAAACCAAGAGTATGTAGATATCCAGAAAGGGTGGAGAACCACTCACGAGGTGATTGTTTGAGTCTGTAGAGGGCTTTCTTGAGCTGGCAGACGTAATTTGGTTGGAGGTTGTCGACGAAGCCCGGAGGTTGAGTCATATAAACGGTGTGGTGCAGCTGTCCGTGAAGGAAGGCGTTCGATACGTCGAGTTGATGAATCGGCCAGGCGTGTTGAAGAGCGAGGATCAAAAGAATACGGATGGTCGGGATCTTTGCGACGGGGCTAAAGGTCTCTTGGTAGTCGATTCCATATTCTTGATCGAAGCCTTTGGCAACGAGGCGAGCTTTGTATCGTGCTATGGAGCCGTCGGCACGGTATTTGGTTCGGAAGGTCCATTTGCATCCAAGAACGTTCTGTTGAGGATCGGGTGGGACAAGATCCCATGTACCTTGGGATTGCAATGCCTGGAATTCTTGTGACATGGCGGTACGCCAGTGTTCATGACGAGCAGCTTCCGTGTATGACGTGGGATCTGGTTTGGTATGGGTGTGAAGTAAATTGAATATGTGTTTAGATTTGATTATACCTGACTTGGAGCGGGTCACCATGGGATGACCGGTAGAAGCCGTAGTAGTGGTAGCTAATTGAGTGGGTTGATTGACGGAGTCAGTGTTTGGTGTCGGTGCGATTGGAGTAATCCTGGAAGGAACGTCTGGCGGAGGAGTCTGTTTTGTTGAGGGAATTGGGACATTGACGTTGGAGGAAGAAATTGGTACCATGAGGAGCGGTGGAATGTTGGGTAGCTGAGTCTGGGACGAGTCCTGCATGGTTAGTTGAGAATACGGAAAAATGTTTTCATTGAAAATAACATGTCGAGATATATAAGTTCTGCCCGTTTGAGGATCAAGACATTTGTATCCTTTTTGTGCCGAGGCGTATCCGGTAAGGATGCAGGGGGTGGAAAGCGGAGAGAGTTTGGTGGTGTGATATGGTCTGAGCCAAGGATAGCACAGACAACCAAATATCTTGAGATGGTTGTACTTGGCGGGTTGGTGGTATAAGATGTGATAAGGGCTGTGGTTGTGGAGCGATTTGGTAGGTAGACGGTTGATTAGGTAGGCTGCAGTGGTAAGAGCTTCCGTCCATAGGGACTGAGGCAATTTGGCTTCAATGAGGAGGCTCCTAGTGGTTTCAAGAAGATGACGGTGTTTGCGTTCCGCGGTGCCGTTCTGGGAAGGGGTATAAGGGCACGTGTATTGGTGAAGGATGCCAAGCCGTTTGAAGAGGTAATTAAATTGAGAATTGATAAATTCTCCGCCTCCGTCCGAGCGAACAATTTTGATGTTGGTGTCAAATTGTCTGTTGATCATGTTATTAAATTCGTAGAATTTTGAGAACGTTTCAGATTTATTAAGCATTGGATATATCCAACAAACCTTAGAAAAGTCGTCAATAAAAACCACGTAAAATTTAAAACCATGAACAGAAGTGGTGGGGGCGGGACCCCAAACATCAGTATGAATTAAAGAAAATGGTCTCGTAGTATTGCTAGTAGAGATAGGAGAAGCTAATCGGTGGCTTTTAGCCACTCTACAAGTATTGCAATGCAGAGAATGAAATTTAGTAAAAAGAGAGGGAATATGCTGTTTGAGATGTTGAATAGTGGGAGCCGCCGGGTGGCCAAGCCGCTTATGCCAGAGATGAGGAATTTCTTGAGCCGAGAACAGCGCAAGTGTGGTAGGCGAAGTGGTGGGTCGGAGAGGATATAAGCCGTCAAGACATGGACCTTTGAACAGAAGACGTCCCGTCTTCAAATCCTGGATTGAGAAGTCATTAGCAGAGAATTTGACGGTGCAATCGTTATCTTGAGTTAGCCGATGAATAGATATAAGGTTAAAAGAAAGGTTCGGAACGTGGAGCAGGTGATTAAGATGCAGATTACCTGAGGGGGTGGGTAGAATACCTTTGCCGGAGTGCTGAATAGGGAGTTGTTGTCCGTTACCTATTGTGATTTGTTGGGAGCCGGTATATGGACGGCTGGATTGAATTTGTGAAGGATCTGATGTGAGATGGCTGGTAGCACCACTGTCAAGAAACCAGTTAGTTGAGCTTGCTGATTCCGAAGGGGAGAATAGAGCGGTTGCGGTTTGTTCTTCCGTGTAGTTGGGATCATGACGGTGCCAGCATTTTAGCGCCGAATGTCCTG